AGCGCTGCCACTATGAAGAGTTGTCTAGTGAACCGCAACATTTCATGCACACGCCCAACCAGGCCGTCTGCAAACACATTCCCTACCGGCCTGCTGGCAGCAGCCATCACGATCGTCCCACTGGCATTCTCGTTGTGCTTGACCTCTTCCGTGTTCTCCTGCAGTCTCCGCATGTGTTCATGGACATGACTTTCTGGATCTCGCCCAGAACCTACAGACATATACAGATACATACACATACATGTACAGCACTTTTTTATGTGTGAATAAACGGCTACCTTGGGAGTCTGTAATTTTGGGAGCTTCACAAGTAGAGTAGGCTTTTAGGGCCCATTATGCTATCAGTCAGATCAGGAACACTCAAAATGGTGTAGGTAATGATTTAGGCCCCTGTAGTATACCCTAAACCCTATACACCCCTGTAGATCCCTTATAGAAACCCTTAGGGATCCCTTTAACGGCCCAAGATAGTAGGCCCCTACAGTAAAGGCTGGAGCTCTCCTTCCGCATGGCATCTCCACGTAGCGCCCCGAAGGTGAGGAACTCGGGGAAAGCCAGCAGAACCTTCGTTTAGGGAAACCCTAAACCCTAAACCCTGGGTTTAGGGTCCTCAAAAACTAAAGTGAAGGTGGGACGGAGGTAGGATTCACCCTGAAGCCTGGTTGAACCCAGACTTTGACTAGGATACCCAGTAACCTAAGAATAAAAAGGCCTCTCTTTTTGGTATTGGGTAACTTTATAAGGAACCTAGGACTACAAAAAGGGAATAAGGGTACTTCTGGGCATCCTAGTTGAATTTCGCTACTGGGCATGAGGACTAGCCAGATCCGCTCGACCCAGACTCCCTTTTTGCAGCAGGCCTCGTTGTCCAGCAGCCCGGTTACAGCAAAGAGCCCCTCTGGGTCCCTAAACCCTAAACATCCCTACAGTAGAAGCCAGAAAGTTGGAATATGATTATCGTAACCCCTTTAAGGTAAATTATAGGGGATCCTACCATGAAGCCATATTCCAACTTTTCTGGAGTTCCCGTAAGCCCTAACTCCGAAGCCATGACCCAAAGTGACTCTTGCAGTACACTTACTTCCCAGAGACTCCAATATCCCTTAATTAAGGAATATACTTTGACTTATACTAGGATCCCGAATATGATTTAAGGAATATTCCTTAACTAAGGGGCATTGGAGTCTCTTACTTGGACCTTCATCCCAGCTCTGGAGCCTGTCTTTGGGCCCTGAGAGCTGCAGCCTTGAGGGTCTCATGGTCTTGGACTTCTTAGGGTTTAGGGTTTAGGGTTTTAGGGTTTAGGGTTTAGGGTTTTAGGGTTTAGGGTTTAGGGTTTAGGGTTTAGGGTTTAGGGTTTAGGGTTTAGGAGTAACCTGAGAATAAAAAGGGTGCCCTTTTCGGTTTAAAGGGGCTTATAAGGGAACGTGAACCCTGAAAAAGGGAACAAGGGCCTACACTAGGTCCTAGGCTTGAAAGTCTTCAGGGCTTTTAGGTCTGGATTTTCGGGGTTACTTGCATCCGGAGGTTCGACACTTCAACTTCGGTCTTTTGCAAGAGGGCTTGCCATGGTCGTGAATCATTGTGTAGCAAAAATAGTGTAAAATCGGGTCCTCAACATGATTTTCCCTGGATGCTGTAGAGCATAATTTCCTGGCAGTAAGATGGGAAAACCAAGTCTCAAAGTTTAGACTTAATGTGCTTTTGATGTGCGAGCTGGTTTTTTGCTAAGGCTCAGGTCTACGAAAAATGCAGACAAGCTCAACAAGGATTCCAAGGGACGGCAGGAGTCACGAACATGTTGACGGCCATTGCGCACCTTGAACTTTTTCGGGCAGCTTGGCCTTACACCCAAAACACTGAACAACAAACCTCCAAGTCGGAGACAGTGTCTAAGCCGTGGCTGGCTGGCTGAGTATAACCAACTGAATAAAACAGAAAGGATGAACGGAGCTACGTAAATCAAGCAATCAACAAAAGCATCAAAGACATTTGCATATGTATTGTGTAAGCATACTTAGCTACTTACATGTACTAGCGCATGATACAAAGCCCTAGACCCCAACCACATAAGCCCGAGACAGAATCGCCATGAGGATGCCTGCAGAAGAAGTGCAGCATCGAACGTGGGCAAATGCCCAGAAGATTCAGACTTCAAGTGGTTTCAGGAGGGTTTAGATGGGTTTAGGCCTTTTTCCCCTCCTAGCTAGCACTATTCGGGTTTACGCTCTCGCAACTCGGACTCTGCCAGACGAGGTGTCTCGGTTCGCTTTGCACAGAACTATTCCGGTTTAGGGCTTCTTCTGAGGTTTCGGGTTCAGCATTATGCATTGGTGTTCGTTGCGATTTCGGCGTTTGTGAGGAAGTTGCCCTGACCTACTGTGGCGCAGAGTTCTGTTGAAACCTGAATGTGTGCTTTGAGCCACCGATTTTCGCAAGTGTTTCTCGTGGTGGGCACTGAAGCTGAACAGAGTTCAACATGTTTGGACCAGACCTCTCTCTTATGCGAGCAGAATGCAAACAAGGTATCATACCGCTTGTCGTGCACCTACATGGACCTACATACCGTGCTATTCTGGCTTGGTTGGTACGCCGCCGTCAGGTGGAGGAGTTGATGCACTCGATGACTCTGCCTGAAGACCGAAGCTTTTCGGTAGCAAACCCCAAACGCTGAGCCCTAAACCCTAAACCGTGACCACGGCGCGTGTATCCTTGCTCCGAGGTGATGACAACGACAACCGAAGGCTGCTGTGACAGCAACGGATGGTGATGATCATGGTTTAGGGTTTACCTATAGTCTGCATTGTAGGTCCCTTTTTTGGTTAAGCAATCTTACATTATGGAGGCGATGGCTGGGGCTTAGGATGGCAATGGTTGGCAGTTGCTGTGTAAGAATGCAACAAGCCACAAGCACACGACGCGGCCCTCAAGCTGCAGCCGCCTGAAACCGAACCCCTACATAGAACAACCTCACGCTCAAGAAAGGCAGCCTTGGTTCATACTTTCCTACCTTGTCGGGTATCATGGGGAACTGAAGATTAACCTTCTTGATTATGTAGGGGTTATTTAGGGATTCTACTACCCCGAAAAGGTTAAAGGCTACCTACTCCACTACTAGGCTTTGCAACAGACACAAAATCAGATCTAAGGAGGGCCAAGTATTACAACTTAGAACCCTAGCAAAAATTATAATTTTAGCTGTTTCTTAGGGATTATAATAACCAAAAAATCATGAACTCCTTCCACTCTCTTCCAGCCTATGCTGAGACTGTGGGACTCCTCCAGGGGTAGCTGCTGCACCGCCAGGGAGCAGTAGCACAAAGTGAGTCCGGATCCTAGGATCACCTGACCAGTGGTTTTGGGGTTCCCTTGGCTCTTCAGCTCCCTATTTAAAAGCGATTATCATCATCCCTGGCTCCTTAGCTCCTCCAATATCAATGGTTAGTCACCTGGGCATTCATGTTCGAAGCTGTTTGAGGCCTTCCTGGCGCCTTTTAATCCAACAGCAGGAGGTTTGGAACGCGCTTTAGGGTTCTAGCGGTTGGGGTTCCTGCGGCTCTTTAAAGGCTTGCAGTTTGTATAGGGGCCTTATAATTAGAATGAGGTTTTGGGCCCATTATACTATAATTAAATATAATAAGGAACGCCCTAACATACTACAGGTAATTATTGAGGCTCTATATATTAGCGGCTTACAGCTACACATGCTGAACCACAGTCTACAGGTGCGTGTGGGGATTACTGCTCAAATTTTGGGTGCCGGTTAGGGACACGGTGCCTTTAAGCTTACTGTTCCTTTGCAAAGCTCTCTCCAGATTCTTGGCTTCGGGGCTGAACCTCTTAGGTGCATTTTGCTGTAATTAATTACTTTAGTCTCCTATAACTGCTCAAGATATCAGCAATGCAGTAACCCCTGCAGGGGTAAGAAAGAGCTCTTCTATACTCACACTACAGTAACCTGCCTGCAAAGCGCTATTCTAACCATAGCGGTCCCATGCTGCCTTCTATCGCTTCGGAGTTGCTCTTTAAGCTTTCCAGGCTTTAGGATGAAGCATTCCGAACCCTAAACCCTAAACCCCGAAGCAAATGGGTGTCTTCGTGGTAGCTATCCTGCAGCCTTCGATGAATGAGCCCCTTACTCGTGCCTTTTGAATCCAGAACGGCCCTGAACCTCACACAGGGGCCTTAACAACTAGAGTAGGGATTCGGGGTACAGTATACTATAACTACAATAACGACCCCCCCAGAACAGTATGGGTAATTATGACGGCCCCTAAATTAAACCACCAAAACCCGTCAGGGTGTATGGTTAAGGCCCAACGAAACGAAGTGGCATGGCCGCTGCGCCGGATGGAAGCCTTTGTTGAGCTCTGCGGTCACTAACTTTAACTTATCGAATGCCCACGGTTTCGTTGCGAAGAATCCTTGCGATTCTTTTGCCGAGGTTGTTGTGCCTTAGGGTCGATTTCGCGTATGTGCCTCGAAGGAGCCTTTTCTGTTGAGCTCGTGAGATTTTCTTCAAGATGCTGCGGAAGACGAATTCAGACTACGTTCAAAACAGAGACCACGAAGTCTAGTAGTCGGGTGGCCAGGTACACGAGTGTGCATGTGTGTGGACGCGCGAAGCGAGACACCCATGTTAAAGAGCGGCTAAGTCAGTGCAAGCAAAGGGCAAGCCAGACCAGCTTGCCGAATGCTGCAACCAGCCGTTCACAGCAACCAACAATCAAAAGGGCTTGTGCATGAGGTGCCGGATTGGTCCAACGGATGAGGCCAGGCTCACCGCATCCCTTCCCAAACAATTCCGGGAGAACCTTTCTCTGAACAGGAGGTGCTGGATGCCAGAAAGTACCACCCTGGGGATTTTCCGAAAATTAGGGTACCGTATTTTGGGGTCCTTATAATCAGGATACTACCATTTACGGTACTATATAAATCCACAATGAACCTTTGCCTTTGAACCCAAAAACCTTCGAAAATGCCGGAAAGCTCCAGTCCAAACCCCAAACTTCCAGCCATGCCTCTGACACTGCCTGCATCAATCCGGCACCTAGCGCTAGCTCCTCCTGAAAGCCTTGGCTTGGACGGCTTGTGGTTCAGTAGGTTCGGTACTGGCACATCTGTAGTACTAGAACTGGTATGAGTATTGATAGATAGATGTAGTAGCAGTGACACTAGCAGCAGCAGGAGGAGCGGGAGCCGTAGAAGTAGCAGTAGCAGCAGCAGTCGTCGCAAACGTAGCTTTCGTCGTCGTCGTAAGTCAGAGTCGTAGTCTTGCTTATAGTAGTACTGGTACCAGTAGAAATAGCAGTAGCAGTAGCAGCAGCAGCAGCAGCAGCAGCAGCGGCAGTAGTAGTAGTAGTAGTAGTAGTAGTAGTAGTAGTAGTAGTAGTAGTAGTAGTAGTGGTAGTAGTAGGAGGAGGAGTAGGAGTAGGAGTAGGAGTAGGAGTAGGAGTAGGAGTAGGAGTAGGAGTAGGAGGAGGAGGAGGAGGAGGAGGAGGAGGAGGAGTAGGAGTAGGAGTAGGAGTAGGAGTAGGAGTAGTAGGAGTAGGAGTAGTAGGAGTAGTAGGAGTAGGAGTAGGAGTAGGAGTAGGAGTAGGAGTAGGAGTAGTAGTAGTAGTAGTAATAATAGTAGTAGTAGTAGTAGTAGTAGTTGTAGTAGTAGTCCTAGCAGCTGTAGCAATAGTGATTGGATCCCTATTGCGAGACCAACAATGAGCAGATGTATTTAAGTTTGCTGTGGGAGGTCTTATGGATAGATAAGAAACTCCCTTAAAGAGTCTCTGAGTGGTTCGAGAGACCCACCAGCAGATACCACAGTTCGCGTCTCCGAATTAGGGTTTCGGCTACCTTGCAGCTAAAGGAAGACCCAGCCAAGAAGTCTGGGGTGCACCCGAAATCCGGAGTCGTCGGCATCTCTTACGCAGGAGCTTGAGTCTGCATATTCAGTTCAGAGAAAGATCAGAAAAAGAATCGGCCTAGCGAATATATGTCGCAGAACCCATGAGCACAAAATACCGTCAGACGATTGCACTTTGATCTGTACAACATGGTGACGTTCAGACATGCTTCTTTCGCAACAGCACATCGCAGCAAGGGCTACAAGCACAAGACCTCTACAGTGCTTGGCTTACCATCATGGCCTTCCAAACAAAGTTTCGGGAGTAGGGTCCCTGAACCCTCAACTGCTTAGAGTTGACGTTTTCCGGCTTGTTCCTACCCAGCCAGAGCTGGGCCTGTCTTTTCATGGCTCAGCCCAGTGACGGACGAGCAGGAAGAGAGAGTAGTCAAAAGTCAGTGCCATCAGCGTGGACTCGGACATGATGGGAACACCTGAAGCACTTGTGTGGTTGTATAATATCAAACGGTACTCTAAGGTGTTTATCCATGTGATACTATAATATACCGTACCATCTAACAATACAACATTATGCTGATTATGTAGGCGGTTGCCGTAAACTGCAGGCCCTCAGGCACATGCTATAACGTTCTCGCGCGGAAAGGACTACAGACTAGACTTCAACGAAATCCCCTAAACGTTGATGCTACAGAGAGGCTCGAGTTGACAACGGATGCTTAAGCGCATCTAGCTGGCCGGAGCTTCGCGTCTGTGTGGCCGCTTACAAGCTGACCCAAGAAACCCATACGCAAACGAACATCTCATCGACGCACCGTGTTTTGTTGCGACCTTGTCACTAGTAGACATGATCCAGCCGGACTCGGCTATCCACGTCAGCACTGCGAAGCAGAGGGTGTTGGCGCAGAACATACAGAGCAGCGTGATCCTCAAGCGTCGTGAGGCTGTACGTTAATCCCCTCTAAATATGGGTGGTTGTCAGAATTAGGGTCCCTTTTTGAGTACCCTAAAATTTAGGTGCTGTATTATAATACGGACCCAAAAGGGACCCTAATATTGACAACCACCCATATACTTTAATGCGGGCCTGGTTGTAGGCTCGAATAAAACCTGAAACCAGGGACCTGTGTCTGACCCTGCAAAGGGCTCCCCCCCTCACCCCGATGCAGGGATCGAGCTTGCAACCTCAAACCCACATATTTTCCTCAGCTGCTCAGCTTGCCAAAAAACAATATCGCCATCCTCAGCAACAGGAGTAGAAACAAAAGCAATGAGAGTAGTAGGAATCTGATAATGACCTATTAATGACACTGTAGGAACTTTGTAGTGGTAGGAGTGCACCACTAGTTAGATGAGCAGGAGTCGCACTGGCTTCGGACAAGCAGAACAAAACAGCAGGCCTGCATAATATTATGGGCCTTAATAATTAGAAAGGGTTTTGGGGCCATTAAACTATAAGTATAGCAGTATAGCAAGGAACCCTCCAAATATTATTGGTAACTGTTTAGGCCCCTACATTATTCAACCGTGAACTCTTGTCACTTGGTAGAAGCCTGGTTCAGTGCGAAACTACCATCCGGTTTATCATCGGTCATGTGCATGTAACGAAACTTGTTCATTCAACCCTCCGCATTGTATGAGACCTGATGGAGCTTGCACTGGTGGCTTACCCGCACTAGTCCCCTCTCCAAAGACACCAAGCGTCAGCATGAGACGCCAGGATTGTACCTGTGCATGGTTTTAGCCTAGCTCGCTTTGCAGGGGGACTTACCTGAACTAGCTGAGCCCTGATTCCGAAAACCTAAGCCCTGAGACCTGAAACCCTGTTGAGCTCTGCATGGTTAAGGTCAAGGTCCTTAAGAGCAGTTGGAGCCTAGTTTGGGTTGCAGAAAAGAAATAAGCACTTGGTTGAGGACCGTTTTCCAGTGTGCTGACAACGGTAGAGGCGAGGCGTGGGAGGATGGGGGAGGGGCGGGGTGCTGACGGTTTAGGGTTTAGGGTTTAGGACTGCATCCTGCAGGAGTTGGTCTCGAAACCTTGGCTTCCCATATTTTGGCGAATCTCACAAACATGAACCATCTTTCGCTCGTGAACACGGGTGTCTTGAGGGATTGGAATATTTCCTGATACTTTCCTAAGCCCTCCATCTACCCTCTGTTAGGCCTTAAAGGCCCCTTATTTGGGACCAGTACAAGGAGGTCCTGGTTCCTGAGACAAGTTAAACAAGCACAGGCCCCCGTCCCAGAAACTAAAACAACCAAACAACTACGCAATCCTTAGCCCCACAGTGCGATCTGTCTCGAGTGATGTGCTGCCCAGTTGCCACTGAGGCCAAAACAGCAAAGCCTGGAGCTGAAAGAAAGCACGGGAATCTCATTCAAGCCTGAGGAATTTGGGAGTTTCCGAAAATAGGGGACCCTAATAGAGTACCCTAAATAGTAGGATCCTTATTATAAGGACCCCAAAATGAGGTACCCCTAATTTTCGGAAACTCCCATTTCCTGACAAGAGCCATTCTCGTGATTACCACTCTTGCTCTATGGCAATTGCTAAAGCGACTCCTGCAACTACATTAGCAACAGCAGCAACAACCACAATACCAATACCAGCAGCTGCAGCCCCTCATGTTGTGGAGGCACAGGCAACGAACTTTTTGTTCAGCATTGAGCCGTGTAAGTACTGTTTTGCTGTTTATCAGAAGATCCCTACTTGCTCTTGAGGCATTCGCTGTCACTAAACCATATCATATTTTGACAAGGCACACAGTGGGATACAAAGAGGATTGCTCCGCGCCAAATCGCGCGCAGCCGACTTGGTGCCATCGACCTCTGTGTCAGCACGGGAGAACACGCCGAGCACTAACTTTCATATCTGTAAAGGCTCTGCAATAACTATGCGCCAAAGCTCAAATGTTGTTGGTTGTGGGCGGCCGTCGCAGGAGTTGGGCTAGGTCGGCCAGGTGTTACAAAGCCCAACACAAACTTGCCGGGATCCAGAAACTGATCCTATGCAAATAAGAGTAAGTATGGGGTATTGTGCTCTTGAGGTCTCTGGGTAGAAACGGGCCTTGAAGACCTACTCCTCGGCGATAGCTGCACAGAAGCCCTAACTAATCTCGACTGCTTGTAGCTCTGCGCCCTGAACATGCCGCAGAGAATGAGAACGAGGTTGCGCGTGACAAATGTCTTCTTAGCTGCCTACAGTGGACATAGACACAGCTAAATGCAGATTCCCACTTCGGTAACGCCTACAATCAGAGCATCAAGCTCAAGGCATTACATGGGAGTTTCCGAAATAGGGGACACTAATATAGTACCCTAAATAGTCGGGTTCTTGATATAATAACCCCCAAATAAGGTGCCCCAAAATTTTGGAAACTCCCACATACCCTCTCCTGACCTCAACAGGATACTGACCATGGTTTTCGGCCTTTCCCAGCCCAATAGATCTCCATGGCAGGACCTTTTTGGGATAACCTTGTAGGACCCTAAATATGCACCCCCAAAAAAAACTACTACGGGGCCTTTGGGTATGGTTTTAGGGGAACCCATGGTTCTTCAGGGATGAGAGCACGGATGAAATGCAGGGTTTAGGGGTTTAGGGTTTAGGGTTTAGGGATGAAAAGCAGAGGCCCCGACGACGAAAGGTGCTATGCCGGCGACGCCAATGTAGCTAATTGAGGCTTCGCCTCGCCAGAGCCGTCGTGCAGATCAGTACCGGGACCCTCCTTGTACGAGTAGCCTCAAATAGGGGTATATATGGTCTCAAATTAGGGGTATATGGTCCCAAATAAGGGGCATTTAGGGGCTAATATAGAGGGTAGATGGAGGGTCTAGGCAGATCAGTATTCTCTGCGGCTCCGGAATGGCGCTAAATCACCAGCCCGGCAGGTAGAAAAATGCAAAGCCATCTCTGTGTGCGCATGAATATGAACATGTGCGTGTGTGTCTGTGTGTGTCTGTGTGTGTCTGTGTGTGTTGGGGTGGTTGGTTTCTCTGATGCTGAGGCCGGTTGTTCTGATGGCATACAGGCTGCATCTTGTGAAGTGGCGTTGGCTTACGTCAAACTTCCTGAGTCATGCCGCTCTGAAAGCAGGTTGCAGACTGCTGATGGGCTTGAGAGTGGCAGTTTGGACCAACCCGGAAGTTTGCAAACCTTAGCTTAGTTCCAGCATGTTCTAAGGCTTCAGATTCAAGGAATGCATCAGCGGCTGCTTTGGCTCTCCCATGCTGCGATCAACGTGCAGGGTGTAGTTCTGCTGTGAATCGCCTGCACCTGACTTCAAACCACATCATACGATTGGTTTGTTCAAATTCGGAGAAACTGAGTACATCCAATTGCCGACTGTAGGGAACATAGCAACAACAGGCGCTCACATCGGAGCTGTACTGAAGTCTGTCGGGTTTCGTGATTGAAATTTGACAAACCCCGCAATGCGTCGGAGGTTACAAGGTAGGGGCCTCAACAATTAGGATAGGGATTTGGGGGGTTCCTGATTATACTTACAGAATAAAAGGCCCCAAAACCAGATTCTAATTACCAAGGCCCCTCTAGTAGTCGACTGGCCTCCAGCTGCATGGTTCCCCAGGAATGTTGATCCTGGGTGGCGCTGGGTGGTGCTTCGGTGAATCCTTGGGCACTGCAGTATTTAAGTTACATTACATTTTCAGAACAGGCTATGCCCAATTTACTGTCATCTACGTTTACCTACCTACGTAAAATATTCTATCGAATGTTCTATCATTACCTATCGATGTATCTGTCCATCAATCTGAGCATAGAATATGGCGTGAGATGGCGGTTTGGTTTTGCATCAACGGCATGTATGCACAAGTCGGATGTGCTCGAATGGCCAAATATTTCGCCGTTGAGTTCACTCTCTCAAACTGAAGCTTCTGGGCAGGGCAGGAACGACAGTGACAGATTTGTCCTGCGCACTTGTGATGGTCAGCAGGTTCACAATCGCAAAGTTTAAGGGTTATGGGGTCCCTGGTCATCTCGAGTACTTAAGCCTCAGGGTTTCGGCTCCAGCGATTCGGGAAATCTGCGTAGCTGCCTCGCAGGTACTATGGTTTAGACCCGCAGGCTCACGTACAGGCTGGAACCTTAAGCAGAAAGTCGTGAAAAAATTCAAGTCTCATCAAATCACCAACGTTTAAGACCCCTGTTTTGACCCCCCCCCCGATGTCAAGAGCACACAGACGGCTCTGGTTTGAAGTATACATTTTCTGACTGTGACTGTGCGATCCTTGTCTGGCAATTCTGGACTCTAGCTGTAAACGACCCGCGGTTCCAACAGCACCAAAAACTACATGCATCCCAGAAGAACATGTCAAAGGCTGAACTGCTCATAAAAGGCTTTATCAAAACGGAATTCCAAGTATCCCCAGGCTGCTACATTGACCCCCCGCTGCAACGATCAAACTAGTCCTACGATTATCTCGTTCACGAGGGAAATCATTATTGAGAGCAAACAACCCTAATTAAGTTTAATGGTAACCCCGATGTTTCAATGGACCGCCGGCAGCGTTCCTAAACCCTGGCATGTTGGTTCTCACGGGGGACAGTGTTTTGGTCGCCAAAGTAACTCTAATGAGGGCTTTTCGCATCGCGCAAAGAAAGGTGGTTACCCTTTGGAAGAAGCTTTATCGTCACGATTCAAGAAACTTTGTCGTTACCTTCCTCATAGTAACGCTTTTGGTACAAGGACCGTTACAGCAGCTCGTATAGAAGCCTCATAGAGCCCTTCCAGTACCCGTTGAAGGAACCCTCAAAGGAAGACCTTTCAGGAACCCCATCCTAGTAACCATATAGCAGCCTTAAAGGAACCCTTACAGCCCAAAAGTCCCTCCGAAGGGCTCTTCGAATTCTCCCTGGGAGACAAGTAGCTAAGTTCGCTCACGAGCTCGTTCTCAGCGCTTCCCACCTGAAATTGGCTGGGCTTAGGGGCTAATGTAGGGACCTGGCTAAGAAAGCCTAGCCCTATAACCCAAAAGTAGTATGATTCATGTAAGCTACCCCCATAAGACCCAGGGTTTCTTAGTCAGATTCCTACATTGGGGCTTAGGGTTTATCAAAAAGGCGAACCCTATAATTAAATCCCAAACCCAACTCCTCCCCCAGTGTACTGCTTCCTTCTGTCCGGCGCTGCAGAGCTTTCCAAACCTCCTACCGTGGGGCGGAAGTTTGTTGATTAATTCTGGCGTTAGTCAGGATGTCAATGGAGATCATGCTACTTAGCACTTGGTGCTTACAGTAAATATGATTTACCATCGAAAATCGCCGTGTTTCCAATCCGAAGGGTTGGTTTCTCAGGGTCCACATCCCTCCTAGCATCTCCTCGCCAGCGGATTCCCAGAGACCTGCCGCCACGGCTAGCATAGCAGCTGGTTTCTCAGAATACGGTAGTTCCTTTAAACAAAATGGCAGAACTCTTACAGCTGTGAAGGATAGATAGTGTCACTTCCCGGCAAGTCCCCATGCATCCGAGCAAGGCTGTGTGCCTTCGAGTTGTCGAAGATAGACTAGTTCTTGGTTGGGATAGTATTAAGACTGATTATTTCGATTCTTTGGGCTTAAGTACCTCCAGAACTTTAAATGTTACCCAACTATGGCAAACTAGACCGAACCAGCCCGAACGATCCTAAACCCTAGCATCTGAAAGACCCAACATTCAGCGAACACAGTCAAAACCGTAAGCATAAGCTCTATAGACCCTAGGAATGTTTAGTATTTATAAGATGCTGCTAGCCAGGGGGCAGTCTTGTTGATGGGCACGCCGATGCGCCGCAGCACGAGCATCGAAGATCTCCTGCAGGCAACTCTGTCCAAGCATACCTATACTGAACTTAGAACCCTAGCAAAACTTACAATTCTAGCCGTTTCTTAGGGATTCTATAATAATCAAAAATTAAAAACTATTTCTAAGTATCCCTATGATACAAGCGAAATTCAGCTTCCCGACGGCCCCCAAATTCCTGACAAAACTCTTCCTTAATCCTATCACCGGAAACGGGAATCGCTTGAGGGTTCTTTCAAGCTTCTTCATGTAGGGCTTCCATGGATCTTCCTCCAGTTGTAAAGTGCTATTGGGTTTCACCGGGTTCGTTTCTTCATATGGGTGGTTGTGAAAATTAGGGCACCTTTTTGGTTACCCTAAATATTAGTTGCCGTATTACATATTAAGGAACCCAACAAAGGGACCCTAGTTTTGACAACCGCCGATGCGGGACTTTCCCAAAACAGGGGACCCTAATATAGCACCAGAAATAGTAGGATCCTCGTTATAAGGATCCCAAAACACGGTTTCCCCTAATTTCGGAAACTGCCATATGGCAGAGCAGAAGGACTGTGCACCGGGGGCTCCACAGCAAAGGAATGCGAAGGAGATGCCATGAAAAGGGTTTAGGGTTTAGGGCCATGAACCCAAATCAGCTTCGAAATCGAATGGGCCTCTAGAGGGCTTGGGATGGCTTCAGGGTTTAGGGTTTTTGTTTTTTTTAAGTGGGGTTTAGGGGTGTAGGGTTATAGGGCTTATGGCTAAGGGTATGGGTTAGTTTCCACTTGACTCGGATCCTGGCTCCGGTTTGGGGTGTCTCGCAGCAGGATTCTAACATGGAAGAGACTTGCTAGATAGGGTCCCTTCTTGCAAGCGCACTGAAAGAGTACGTCCCTCTGAGGACTCAAAACGGGCCCTCCTAAGCCAAGCCTCGTCGTAGTGCTGGATTGAATTTTTTGGGGTTGGGGCTAGGGGCCTAGGCGTAGTGCCTATAAATTTGTACTGTCAACATGGAGGTCTACATAACTGAGCCGACCGGGCTGTGTAGGGTTCAGCGAAGTAGACCTCGGTTCCAGAGATTACGAGACGAAGAAGTTCTGGTCAGGGCCCCGTTAAGCGCTTTGCAGTTGTAGATGGTAGCGTACAATAAACAATGGTAGTTCTGCGCGCATAAAGTCTTTTTCGAGCCACCCTGTGCCGGCAAGTGGCTTATCTGAAGATATCAGCTGTGCGCCGATGTTGGGGAGGCCCTGCCAGCGATGCAGCATTGAAGGGTGACGGATTTCGGGGTGACCCCATTGATTTCCGCAAGATTGCTTGCAAAACGCCCTCCGCGTGACGTGCCCAAGCTTGAATCACCTAGCACTAGCACCGACCAAGACCAGATGCCGCAAAAGCAGAGGTCGCAATGCCGTGAATGAACACCGCTTGGACCACGCATGATGGACATCAGGCCAACTAACGCTGCAATCACCACATGTTCTGCAAGGGTTGAATCGATGGTTTTGCGCTGTGTTGTTGTCGCTGCTGCGGTTGCTGCTGGTGCACTCTAGTGCTTTTGCCCGGGCAGCTGGCTTAATTAGCTTAGCTGCCCATTTGCTGGTACTGCTGTTGGTGGTTTGTCGTACTGACAACCGCCATGTATTGTGTTGCCACCGTTCCTCTCACATGTACTTTGCGCAGTCTCAACTTGCATTCAAACACTTGGTTTCCCGCACCATGCTCGTCAATCTCATAGAACCTTTCGTCTCTATGAAACTCCCCCATGACAGCCATACGGGCACCGTTTCACGGGGGCCTGCCCCTCAAGGCCGATATAGGAGTCAACCTCCTAGGCATCCGGCTTGAACAATTCGTTTAGGACTTCGGGATGGTTGCTTTATTTGGTATGCACTGATCGAATTTCCATTGGGAGGGATGCTTTCTTTTGTCAATCGGTTTTCCTTGAGAGAGCGCCTTTTTGGTTCTTGGGCTCCTTTCCTTCCCCTGCTTAGGAAGAGTTTGGAAATGAGGTCTTTATGAGTTCAAGTGGCTGAGGTATTGGATTTCATCTCAGAAGCCGCGATCTTGCTAATGCTCTGACTTAAAGCTGCCATGATAAGGAGCATAAAACTTGAAAAGAGACAGATAGATAGGTAGACGTTACCGCCATGGTAACTGAAAGTAACCGACTCCGTTGCACAACAAGACTCCATCTATATCTTGACTGTCAGCCGCGATCCAAACCACACCCCCGTTTCGGATCTTTTGCGGCGGACCACATCTTCTGGCCACGCTTTCCGAGAATTACAGTAAGGGAGGTATTTAGAGCTTTTGCTGTCAGGGTTTACGACAGGAAGACTCTTGGGTCTTTGCCCAACCAATAGGTAGATTAGGCCCTCCATCTGCTCTCTATTAGACCCTAAATGGCCCTTATTTGGGATCATATACCCCTATTTGGGGGTACAGGGAGGGTCCTGGGAAGGGAGACACCGGGACGAGAGCTCAGTCAAAGGGTAAAAGGAGGGACCCCTAATAAGGACCCCTAGGTATATACCCATAATATAGCCTTTATTACCCATTATATAGCCCATTATAGGGTAGGGGTCCCCATTAAGTGTCCCTCCTTTTCCCCTTTGACTCCGGCTTGCGAGCAAAGGGCAACATCGTAGAAGCCGCGGTCAGTCAAGAACTGCCTCGGTCGCATGGTGTAGCAGCACTTGTCGGGTATCATGGGGAACTAAAGGAAAAATCTTTCTGGTTATATGGGGATTATATAGGATTTGTACTACCCAAACAAGGTTAAAGGTTACCTACTCTACTACTAGGTGTAGCAACACTTGGCTCATCAACAAGTCCTGGAGGCTTAGGCAAGAGTCCTAAATGTGTGCGCCGATCTGGGGCATGAACAGCTGCTCTAACCATGCTGATTTCAGAGCTGTGCAGCAAAGCTTCTCTGTCTTGGCGGTGACCGCTGCTAGCAATCCAGATTTCAGCAAATCGGGCTGCTCCAGGTAGGCGCCCTGCCGGCCGGAGGCACTCCCAGCAGCCAGCAGCTACATAACACAAGCTTCAACTGACCCGAGCCCAAACCGGGGACAGGAGCTTCGGGACCACTGAAATACAACACCAATGTTCATGTCTGGAGTGGAAATGAGCAGAGCAACATCTTGTCCGAAGGCTTGGTGCAGTGGCATTCTACGAAGCCGCATTCCGCCGCCCTGCTTCTCGCACTGGGAATGCTGAAGAGCCCACCAGAAGTGAACAAAGTTCGTCAGTCTAGTGGGCTTTGGTTTAGGGTTTAGGGTTTAGGGTTGGGACGTAACTTTACACTCCACTCGTCAATCCTTTTGCATCCAGACCTCATGCAGTCTTGCGAGAATACCTAAACCTAAACCCTTTGTTGAACGAGGCCTCTCTGATGCAACTCTGAACACTAAACCCTCCAGTCCTCGGCCCTAAACCCTAAATCCTAAGCCCTACTTCGAGGTTCATGGGTGGTTATAAGTGGAGTTGTAAGTCCCTTAATATGGATTATGACTATAGTTACCCTACTTATAAGCCCACTTATAACTACCCATGAACCTCCAAGTACTACCCAAAACCCTAACTATAGATCCCCTTAACGGAACCCCCAAAGATCCCTTTAAGGGACCCAAAAGATTGGTGAGGCCAGGAACGTTATCGCATTTCCGCGTCTTCAAACCCCTTCAAAGGGGAAAAGCAGGGACCCTTAGTAAGGACCCCTAGGTATAGACCCTTAATATAGCTATTATATACCCATTATATAGCCCATTTTAGGGTAGGGGTCCCCATCAAGGGTCCCTCCTTTTCCCCTTTGAACCCGGTCCCCCGAGCCGAGGCAGAACCGTAAACCCGAAAGCCTCTCGAGGCTGCTGTACCAGGATCACATCGCCTGGGAGTTTCCGAAAACGCGATTTAGGGTCCCTGTTCAGGGTTGCTTACAGGGATCTATAAGGATTTCTGTAGGGTTTTGTAGAAGAAAGTTTATGAAAATAGGGGAACCCCTTTAAGTTAAAGGAACCCCGTTCGAATCATGATGGCCCCCTACATGGGAGTTTCGGAAGATAGGGGACCCTGACTCTAATACGGTTTAGGGTTTATAGGGTTTAGGGCTTAGAGTTTAACACCCTACATAGATAGTAGGATCCTGATTATAAGGATCTCGGAATACAAGAATCACGTCACCTGCGAGTTGCCAAACTTTCAAGGGCTGAGGATCTCAGAATTTAAGGTTTCAAGTTTAGGGTTTCGACACCTATAGCGGCTTAGGGTCTCTAGGTTTTTGCGGCATTGTATCTCGAAGATGGGACTAGCATACTGGGGGCGGTTTTATTCGAAGTACTAGTATGGGTTTGAGAAAGTTGAAGACACTTAAGTGAAATTGCCCAGCCCACTAGGCATGCGATTCGTCGTAGGTATGGACGAAGGCAAGCATGATTTCGGCAAGTTGGGCCTCATGCATCTCATATTATCGAGATCGCAGAATCGGCGGCAATGTGAAACATGTACATACAATAGCAGAATACTACCAGTAGCATTTGCATAGACACCAATGTGTGCACGTATGTGTGTATGCGTCTATGCATGTCAGTACGAATGTAAGAACGTAAGTAAGTTTAAGTTTGTGTATGTGTGGATGTACGTGTATGTATCTTTTTAAACTCTCAAAATTAATCACACCGTAATAGGCATCATGTTCTTGAGTCAGGCAGCCGCAACTGAGGTTTGCCAGACACAATCGATGCAATCAAGTCTCATTCCGGAGGCTCGTGCCCAAAGTACTGCCTCAGTGGCTCAGCATGCGACAGAGGCAACTAAGCACGTCTGGAACCTCAACTTGTCCTCAGCCCTTTTGGTAAACCCGTACTGAGGCCGATGCGTCTGACGGGAGAGAGCGTTCTCCGAACAGCTCACAGCAGCAAGGATCCATGCGAGGCGCATCCAACTCGAGATCTCAGAGATCCGATGTAAGATGCTGAACTTGCGAAACCCAACCCGGAGGAACAACACTAAACGAGACCAGCCCCCCCGACTAAAAAGCTCATCTCGAATCGTAGCAACCGATGGCAGCACGCAATCCAGCAACCAATCGCTGCAGAGAAGATTCTACAGCCTCTGCCCCTCCAGCATATGCAGAAAATGCATGCCTCTAAGAATGTTGTGATATGTGAACTTCTGCCACCCTTCAACTTTGTCAAGCCAGATTGTCCTCAGCCCGAAAACCCTAACCCCGCACCCCAAACCCTCAACTCTACACCCCAAAACCCCAAACCGTTAATGCTGCTTGGACACCGGAGGTGCTCACGTGCAATCGCTGCCGGGGAGCCCGCGACTTCGCTGTAGATCTCGGTGATGGGCTTGTACTTCGGGGTGAGCAGGGCTTAAAGGGGCTATGTGTTTAGAGGCCCAGTTAATTGGGGGTAATCAAGGCTTAATGGGTATATGTGTTTAGGGGCTCAGCGCGTGATATTTTGGGATTTCGGTTTATATGTGTTTTTTTGACACTCACATGTTTAGGGGCTCAATGCATGAAATTTGGGATTTTCGGCCTATGGGTTGAGGCTTATAAGTGGCTTTCGGCTTGTAGGATTTATGGGTTGAGGGGTTCAGGGCTAAGGCGTCAGATTTTAGGGTTTGGCTTGTAGGCGTTGGTGTGCGTAGGTTTAAGCTTCGGCCTAAATACAGGGCTTATAGGGTTGAGGGTCTAGGCTTAGGGAGCTCGAGGTCTAGGATTTCCGGAACAACTCCAGAAATGAATGGCGAGGGTGCGTGATTCATCGCCTGTCTGCGGGCCACCATCCTTTGAGGAAAGGGAAGAGTTTCAGGCTTCGCTGCAGACAAGTAGCATTCTGTGTACATGACAGAAACCGCATTGCTGCCGGCAGGCCTTGGTTCTGCGAGATTCGCTGCGGTCACTTCTATACTGAACTTAGAACCCTAGCCAAAATGATAGTTTTAGCTGTTTCTTAGGGATTATAATAACCAAAAATTATAAACATTATTTCTAAGTACCCCTAAGACTTTTTCAGGAACCCGTAACTCTAGTTACAATCGTACACGGGAAGTGGGCGAACGATCTTGTCGTCTGCTAGCAACACACACAAAGGCCAACAGTGACTATGGGAATAGGGCTTGCTGCATACTCTTCGGAAAAGTATGTAGCTTGGTGGTAATTGTTCCCGAAAATTCGGCGTCTAAGCGGGCTGGGGGGGGTCTAACAAACGGGTTTAGCATTTTCTTACTAGGCTTTGCGAGCCACGCCCTGGATCTATGGGCTAAGGGAATGGGCTTGGTTCCTTGGGCCACCATAGGACCTTAACTCAAGGCTTTGCGCCGCCGACAGCCAGGCCACAAAATAAAACAAACAGCAACGCAGCGACCAGCAGCACTTGGGGACATGATGCCAGGATCTCCTCAGCACGACAGGAGCGTTCCCGACGTCTTGGGTTATCAGCTCTAATCCCAAAGTCAGGGGGTTGAGGTTTGCAGGGTTTGGGGCACTAAGCCGTTTAAGTTAGGTTGCGAAGGAGCTGTGAGCCTACCTTCCGGAAACAAACCTACTCAGCTGTTCCAGTAATTCATCGCAGGCTTAGGCTTAGACCACCCATAGAGAAGCATGGACTGGACTCATGGCTGCTCAGCTCCGTCGCGCATTCGGCAGGTACAGGCATGCAGCAGAACCCCATGGCTACAAGCCGAACATCACCGAGCCCTCAAAGCCCAAACCTCAAAAGCCCCAAACCCCTAAACCCTGCATCCGCAAAACCCTACAGAGTGAACCGGCAGTTTCAAATCACCATCTCCAAACGCTGAACCCTGCGTTTTAAAATCCCGAAATCCCAACTCATGTACAGTTATCGTATATGCTTTCTTTTGCAAGGTTTCCATACAAGAATCAGACTCGACGAAGCCTATCGCCTATGTGAGCAAACGGGCCCTTAGAGTTCGGCATAGATTCCACGTACTTCCTGGAGATGCACCGCCACTTCGACATGGTCTCATGAAAGTGGTTGCAGAGAGGGACGAATTAGTTTTTTCGGGCTTTCCGCTTAGGTGTTCGGGCGTGAAGTTTACGGTTGGGGCTTCGAGTTGCATGCAGGGCTTTGAGATTTCGAGCTTAGGGTGTATTTCGAGTTTGGGGCTTAGGGTGGCTTAGAGTTGCGAGTTCTGGGCTTAGTGTTCCGGGGAATGCCATCGCATCACCCCTGGACTCACAATGCAAGCTTTCTTTACAGGCTTCGCAGTGACAAGCGCTACAGCATCCGAGGGTGTGACATAGTCTGACTAGGCATCCGTTCGAGAAGGTCCGGGGTTCGTCAGTTTATGCCCGAAAAGATGGGGAGGGCTCTGACACAAACAGGGGGTGTCTTTACTACGTTCTTATGTAAGGCTAGTATGTAGGGAAGAGTCCAGCATATCTTGAGCACATTGGCAAACAGATTCTGTGACGTCGTCACTGTCAAGAATCCGTGCAGGAGCGCATGGCTGACTTTGTGTGGAAGATCTCCACATAACCGACCGGAAACCGTCAGTCAGTCAAAGTTCATTTCATGAGCAATAGTCAATAGAAACAACATCTGAGCTTCGCACCACCCTGGTTGCCACGTGCTGTTCAGTGGCTGACTCGGGTTACCTGGATCGCGCTGCGTGGTTCATGTCATGGGGAATTGGAAGCTACCTAGTACGCCCCGGGTCAGATGGACACACTCCACGACTCGTGCACAAGATTGGGGAGTCGCAAGTTAAACTTATGCGTACACATCCTCTGCTGAATGTACATTACGAAAACAAACCCAAGGTCGCATTTGCATCATTGGTGCACATGTGTGAATTGCACGACAATCTTCGCGAACTCCTGAGTGCAAGTGCGAGTTTTCCGTTCGAAGGGCTTTGGCATCCCATCGCTGATATTGGGAATGAAACACTGTGTAGTCTGCTGTACAATAGCCCGTCATCTTGCTTTCGTTCGTGTTGTAGAGGCAACTCTGCACCCAAATCTTTCTAAACTCTGACCCCTCAAACCCTCAAAACTGAACCCTAACTACACCCTTTGTGCTACCGGACTCAAGTCTAACCAATCTACGACCTGCCTCAACCCCCTGAGCCCTAAACCCTAGCAGTCTGTCGCCCGCCGAGAACCCCGACTTCGTCCACGAGGCGCCCGCGCCGATTGGCTGCCGGACTGCCTTGGTGATGTAAGAGCCTTTCTTGTTGCATAGATATACGTACATAAAAAAATGCATATATATATATATATATATGCACACACACATACAGAACAATAATAGCAACCATAGCAAGTAATAACACTAGTAGTTGTAATTAGGATAACAGACATATCATAACAATAAGTCATGTTCAAACAATATAAGTGGGGTTTCAGAGAGGTGGGGCTTGAAAGACAAGATTATACTACTTTGTATGCAGTGCTTGTAACAAGCCGCAAGCCCCCCCCCCAGCAACCCAAAACAAATCTTAAGCTGAAGCACATAACAACAACCTTCCATTCGCCGGCCGTTCAGTCTTTTAACCAACTCTGAACCCTCTCTCTCTCTCTCTCTTTCTTTCGCCAGGGCTATGGGCAAGAGGTTTGACCCCCTTGCCCGCGCGCTTCAGCGCCCCCGACTGTTGCGGAGGTGAGCATCGACAAGTTGCTACCACCGGCTCTTTCAGATTCAAAAAGGAAATCTCATCGCTCAGCAACTGCAATCAGGACAGCCAAGAAGATCAGGGTGAAGGTGCATTGCAATTGAGGGGCCTACGATCAGGACTGGACTTCGAGCTGCTGATGCGGGGGTATTCCCCGATCGAGAGGTTCCCATCGGGTCTGCCGGGTTGATTTGTGGGTCGGTCCACAACACTTCAGAGTGTCTCTCTCTCTCTCTCTCTCCCTCGCTCGCTCGCACTCGAAGCGTCAGGCCTGGTCGAAGGGCAACATCTGCGCCACTCGTAAAAATACAAAGAGGAAAACTTTTGAAACTCTAGACAACTCTGAACCCTAAACCCCTAAACCCTTAACCCTTTTCTTGATCCCAACGAAGGCTCCGACTCAGATCCAGAGCCATTAACCCTACGCGTAACACAAAACCCCTATAACATAGCATGAATATAACCGTAACCCCTGAAACAGGAGGTTTCAATTAATCCCTTGAAGTTCTGTTAACATAGAAACAACAAAAACATCCTCACAGCACGAAAGGTTCGAAAGTGGGAGATCCGACCCTCAGGCAAACGAAGAGTTGATCCCCGGCAGCTAGTGTAGGGACCGTAATAATTCGATTAGGGCTTTGGGACCCATTATACTCCAATCATAATAAGGAACCCCCAAAATAGTATTGGAAATTGTGCCCCTCTAGGCTTACAGAGAATGCGAGTTCCGAAATCCCTGCATCTTGCCAACAAACGCTAGCCGCATCCCTCCAAAGCCCATGTTTCTTCCCCAGCACTGCCAATACCACGAAAGGATAAGACATGAAACGCTCAGAAGCAGACTAATGTTAGGTATGTGGGTAGTTCTCCCTCAAATGGTAGGGCACCCTTATAAACAGGAGCCTAGAACGAATCTTCATTTAGAGAACTACCCACATAGAACCCTTATAGTACCCTTGCAGAACCCTTTAAGGAACCCTAAACAGGACCCTGTTTTAGAGAACTGCCCATGTGAGGCCCCAGCCACTTTTGAGCTTTCGCCTCGGTGGTTTCCTTGGCCAGATTCAGCCTCGGGCTTCGGATCATAAGGGAGGTTTAGGGTTTAGGGGTTTAGGGGTTTAGGGTTTAGGGTTTAGGGGTTTAGGGGTTTAGGGCTCAGGGTTTAGGGTTTAGGCTTTAGGGCTTGGGGTATTGGGAGCTTCCGAAAATGAGAGGTACCTTATTTAGGGATACTCATACAGGAGAAGCCCAAAAGTTGCAAACCCCATAGCCTCAATCCTTGAGAGAAATGCATGTGGAATCCCAGCACTAGTTGGCCTTAATCCGGTTCCCAACTTTATGGGACTTACTGTAGGTGTTTAAGGGTTTGGGCTTTGGGTTTAGGCTTTGAAGGTTAGGGGTTTAGGAGTTTGGGGGTTTAAGGGTTTGGGGTCGGGGTTTTACTTGGGTTCCCGTTTCAGGGCTTGTGATTGTTGACATGTCGAGTGAGCTTTAGGCTCGCAGGGCTGCATGGGTTTAAGATCTACTAGGGCTTTAGGTTGTTCGGGCTGCTAGAACTACGTTGTGCCTTGGTGCCTGTATCCAGGGGCAGTGGAGAAGGAACAACCATTTCGAGGAACTTGGGCGCATGTGTTCCTCCGGCGATGTGAGCCGTGAGTGCGAATATACGGATCCTACAAGCCAATCAGCCCAAAACAAAAACAATCAATCCTGTTCCAAGCACGTTAAGCCCTGCGACTCTGGCACTTCCATGTACTCTATAATGCGACTGAGCACACTACAAAATCCCGCTCCTTAAACCCTATGGCCTGAACCATAAACTCTAAATCCTAAACCTTAAACGCTAAAACTCTGCTTCTTAAACCCCATACCCTGAACCATAAACTCTAAATCCATAAACCCTAAAACCCTCAAGCCCTAAAACCGGGAAACCCTGAAACCCTAAAGCCCTAAAACCTTAAAGCCTTGAAACCCTAAAGCCCTAAACCCTATATACCCTGCAAACTTTAATATAAACCTTAAACCCCGACCTCTAAACCCTAAACCCTAACCCTAAACCCTTTTGCTGCAGGCTTGCTTGCAAGGACGCCTGGTAGTTTGCCGCTCTTCCGCCAACCCTAAACCCTAAACCCTAACCCTAAACCCTACACCCCTAAACCCTAAGCCCCTAAACCCTAACCCCCTGTGTGATGGGAACCCCGAGGCGACGGCACAGTCGAGGAGGCGAAAGAGTTCCTTTTCGCCTCAGGCCCGTAAGGATCAATTTAGGGTTTTAGGGCTTTTGGGGTTTAGGGTTTTTAGGGCTTAGGGTTTTAGAGCTTTCAGGGTTTTTCGGGTTGAGGGTTTTTAGGGCTTTTGGGGTTGAGGGATTAGCAATTTAGGGCTTAGGGCCGTGTTGCAGGGCCTTTTCTTAGAGTAGGGTTTCAGGGCACCTAAACCCTAAACCCTAAACTGCCATCTCATGGGGTTGGCTAGGCCGGACCGTAGGGATCCTTTTTAGAAGGGAAGTCTTTGGGTATCCTCTGTTGTAACTAATCTGTGGGTGGTTTTGGGGGCATATTATGCTGCAACTGTAATCAATGATGAGCCCTTTTTGCACAGACTTGTATGAGCCCTAAACCCCAAACCACAAATGTGGGATTTGACCTGGGCCCGCAAGCCGGCAACATAGGGTGGGCAGGGCACCAGCACAAAGCGGCATTCAATGCGGTATGTGAGTAGCCACCTGATGTCAAAGGGCTTAGGGAGGGTAGGGTTTTGGGGCTGGTGTTTTAGGGTTTAGTTTAAGATATTAAGGCGGCTGGGGGGCTGGGGTTTTGGGGCTTAGGGCTTAGGGCTTAGGGTTTAGGGCTTAGGGTGACAAATAGGTGTTAATCACGGCGTGTGACGCGGCATGCGCACGTACGATGCATGCAGAGTAAAGCCGAGGCGGCCAACTGCAACTGACTAGGGTTTGGGGGTTTAAGGGTTCAGGGTGCGTTTGAGGTTTGCTTAGGTTTCCAATTGCCTTTACCTCTGAGCCGAACCCCACAAAGTAAACCACGAGAACACCGACAGGATAGCTGCCCTAAACCATTTCAGGCATTTGGGTGGTTGTCAAAATTAGGGTCCCTCTTTGGGTCCTTATTATAGTACGGAACCTGATATTTAGGGTACGCAGAAAGGGACCCTAGTTTTGACAACCACCCATATACTGACCCACAAACCCTCTGTGCCCTCGGCTGGAGGCGCTTTGCCGTCTTTCGGCCTGAGTTTGCCCAAGCTTGCTTGTCTTTTTGAGTCTGGGGTCAGTTCAGGGGACATATATGCAGATACGCATATACAGTCAGATTTCTACTTAAATAC